CACCCCCCGCTCTCTCTCAAACACACCCAAAGACTATGTCCTTATTATTATACTGTTGCGAGCACAGTAAAACACTTACAAAAACAAACAAACCAACAACAACAAAACACTTAACAAATACATCATGCATTACATCCAAGGTCTAAAGCGTGGGTGGGGTCATAAAACGTTTATCTGCTAACAAATTTAATATAATGTGTAATAAAGTGTTCACCATTAGAAGATACCGCGATGTACTGCTTCACACGATTGTCAGCTTTCTTTGTGTGAGACTGATCAGTAGGATCTTGTCCTTGAGTAAGGCACGATCACCTTAGCTCAACATTAGGGCCCGCACAGTGACAATCTGCTATCTATGGTTTACAATATATTTTATTATATTGCGTGTGTGTGTGATCAGAGAGGTAGTATTACTGTAAACTCTCTGGTGTGATATTATGGTACGTGTGCCACCGTACTTGCCATTTCCTGTTTGCCACTGTATACAAACTTCCCCGTCTCTAAAATGTTCTCCTTTCACCTCCTTTCCTGCTCTCATAATGTTCTGTCGTTTGCTTTCGACTCCACTTTCTGCCCCCCCCCCCAACCCTTCCCCTCTGGGCTCCTGTCTCTTTCTGCAGCCTTTCTATTATTATAATTGTTACTCTTTGGCTCTTTCTTACTGCTGTCTTTCAACCACACCCTTGTTCTTATGGTAGATAAGATCTAACACCTAGCCTTCTCGGATACGGGCAACAAATCTCAGAGGTCCCGTCTGCAAGTTACGCACGCTAGAGATCCCTTTGTGATCCTAACATCAATAAAAGTAGGCTGCGGTCACCACCCGGGCAAAATTAAAAATGAGTTACTGTTACTACCAACTTGAAAAATGTTTGATGTGTCCTGCGCGCAGTGGCGGTGGGTGGACCAAAATTTGGGTGGGGCTTAGGTTGCTTCCAGTTCTTTACCACCAAATAGTTAGCAATAAGAATTACACAGTGATGATTTTTCTATACTGACGGTGAGCCACGGCAGTTTGAGAACCATTCAAACGAGAAGAGATGCCTTTGTTTTCCATCTCTTTGTTCTTAGTCAAATCTCTGTTGATGGTGGGGACGAAGCCGATTCACCTCCAAATTTCCTCCAATTAGTTTTCGTGTGATGAAAAAGTTGCCTTACAAGTAGTTCGACCTGATTTACAACTGTTAAATCTCAGCGGCACCTACACAAACATGCACCGACAGCACTTCAAACAAGAGTACTTCTATGAGCTGGATGAGGCCGTGTAGTCGAGAAAGTTGAACGCACCCAACAAAGAACCAATGAGCGCATAGGTATCTGTGTCAGTGGGGGAAAGTGTGTCGTAAAGTTTCACCCCATTGTCAGGGCTAGGAGAGCGTGAGCCCTCCGTACAGTGTTATTTCCCCCCAGTCTTCTGCCTTTTTACAAGAAGAGTTTCATTAACGAGGGTCTGTGGGAACCGGCTCATCTTAGCTGAGGCCTAAAGACATTTGATTGGCTGTTAGGTTACTATAGTTGTAAGCGGTGACAACAGTGATTGGATAAGCGAGCAAGCCGCAAAGTTGATCACTCATTGCGGGCAGTTATAACGGTTTCAACTGCTTATTTCATTAAAGGAGAAACTTTCATTTACTTTGGGATAGAGTTGGAGGTGGTGGGTGGGGAGGGGGTAGGGGCTCAAGCCCGTGAGCCCTTCACTACCCACCGCCACTGCCTGCGCACCCATATTATATGACCTTATGCAGTTGCGAGCGCCATAAAACACTTAGATCTACCAAAACAAACAAAATCAAACAAAACTTCCCCATGGGGATAAAAATGAAAGAAGGTACTAATTTTTACAAATTTAAAATTGAATTTCTTTTCTTTTCCTATGCAATGTTATTGTACCATAATTGTTTTCCTATTTTGTGCCTGTCTGTTCGCTACAAATTTGCGACCCTGAGATGTTGAAACTTTTATATTGACCAAATTTTAATAATCTTTTTTTTTCTTTTTGTCCACAGAAACGGTGACATCCATACCTCACGATTTCGAAACTGGTGACATCGCTACCGCGCGTAGATCTATAGTTTGAGAAACTGAGACGTCAGAACTGCGTACACGAATTGAGAACCGGTGACGTCAGTACCACGCAGTTTGAGAAATGGGGACATCAGTACCACAGAATGATCTTCCTTTGGAGAACCGTTGAAATCGGTACATACTTACAGTTTTGAGAACCGATGAAATCGGTACTACACACATGACAGTTTGAAAACCGGTAACATAGGCGCAAATAGATTTCTAGTTTGAGAACCGGTGAAATAGGTACCACAGCTAAATCTCCAGTTTGAGAACCGGTGACATCGGTACCACAGATACATGACAGTTTGAAAACCGGTAACATCGGCACAAATAGAGCTCTAGTTCGAGAACCGCCGAAATATGTACCACGGGTAGATCTCCAGTTTGAGAACCGATGAAATCAGTACCACACTTACAGTTTGGAAACCTGTGACCTCAGTACCACCAATAGATCTCCAGTTAGAGAACCGGTGACATCGGTACCACAGATAGATCTTCAGTTAGAGAACCGGTGACATCGGCACCACAGATAGATCCTCAGCTTGAGAACCGGTGACATCGGTACCACACACACGCCCTCGGTACCACGACGGAGCCGGTCATGGCGGACTGGGGCTAGATACTCGGCCCCTCCGGCCCCTCCCCGCACGGCCAGGGAGGAGTTGCCGGTGGAAGATCTGCACATGATTGCTTTACAGTCGGCGCTGGCTGTTGACGTGAGTTGTTTGTAAATTAAGTCCAGCCACCCATCCACCCGTCACCCCATCCACCACCCTCCATCTATTAGCCAGTTGGCGTTTCTGTCACTTTCAGTCTT